ATATATATATATATATATATATATATATATATATATATATATATAATTACTTTTTACTTTAATAGTATATATAATTTTACTTATAACTTCTTTATTATATTAATCATTTCAAGTTTAGTTTTTAATTTAAACAAATGAATCTCATTAAATAAAATATTAAATTTAGAAGAATTAGTTCCATTTGAATGTGAATTTAATCCAATATCAGAACATCAATCGTTTGTTATAATTTGTCAAAATAGAGTTCTGGTTACAAATGGTGGTTTCCCATCTGTAACGTTTCCGGGCAAAGTGTTTATCACAATACAACTACATGTATTCCGAATAACGAATACCCGTTTCATAATATATTCCGTGTGTCTGACTATAGAACGTCTTCAACTACTGCGGGCGTGCATCGTATCTGCGATATGCGTATATCTATCGAGTATCGATGAACAGCCGGGGAATTCGATTGAAATAGAATTTGAGAAAGATTTGAAAGCTTCGCGAGATGAATTTAATGGACTATTTATTAAACATATATACATATATATCGGCGTATAGTTTGCGTGCAAAGGTGCAAAGTGCATGTAAATTTCAGAATTGATAGCCAAGCAAGCGAACGAGAGATTGTTTCCACGATCGAAACGCAGTCGCTTCGTCCTTTGTAATAACTTTTGTTCGTCCAACGAACGAAAGTAAATTCTGTAAACGGATTCGGACTGACGTTTGGAAACGTTCGTAGCTAGTTTGCGTAAATGTTAGCATTAGCGTGTCACTAGAAATTCAATCGCGACACCATTTTTTACAATTGAAGATTCTTAAAAATTTATATAAATTTTCCCATGATAAATAAGTCTAAATAAATAAATAAATAAATGATAACAAACAACAAATTATTAAAAATACAAATAAATATTTAAATCAACAAATTAATAAAATAATTTCCCTAATTAAATTTAATGAACCTACATTACATAAACATAGTGTAGCTCGAAAGAATATTAACGAAGGTATAAAATTAATTATTCCTTTGTCAATATAAATTCTATTAGTTTGAATAAATAAATTAAATTAATTTGGTAAAATTAAGTGATATCTAAGTCTATCAGTTTGAATATAAATTAAATTAATTAAGTAAAATAATCCTGAAGAAAGAAATCCATGACTAATTACTTGAGACATCAAACTACGTTTCACCAACACTTTCCATTCAAAGTTTTCCTGTCTTCTTCGCGTCACCTTTGGTTCATCCTTTTGGATCCCAATTGTTCAAGGTTGCATACAGCAGAGCAGAAAGAGTAAATAATCACAGACGTGATTGTGAAAGATTCGGAATTCGGCAAACGATAGTTAGCAGGGAAGAGAAATGTCATTATTCCATTCATTGAAAATGCAAATCCTCTAATGAGGCGCCAATCACTAGAGATAGCCAAATATCTCTGCTAGCGAGCAACTACTACTTTACATAACACGTGCAATGTGTAAAGTTGTACGAGCCAATGTTCGATCACAGATATTTGGTGGTTTCGGTCGAATCAATCGTTCCTGTTGTTCCTCGGCAAAGGTCACGAGTAAAAACGGAGAAACAAACGAACGATAGTTTCCGTTTGTTAGGCTCGAGCATTTTCCACCTTTGAATTTGTCGAATTTTTCGATGAAACGGTGATTACCGTACGCATGATAAATGAGATTAATGACAGCATTAAATCGTTATATTGGAAGCAATTTCGGCCGGAAATTGGCTTATAATAACAGAATGAATCTCACACGTGCATGCTATACTCGAAATACACTAATACCAACGATCGTACGTATTTCAAAATGACGAGCAGCAGGTAGTTTTCATCACGTGTTGACATGTATCCGGAAGATTCGGAAGAGAGACAATCTTGAAAGAACTGAGAGATCGCTTGTTGAAAAGAAACGAATGACGTGAAAAGCAAAAATCGTGAAAAAGCGATTGTTTTTGATTGTTTTATTTTTTTTTTTATTATTTACGCGTGTGATTTGCAGGGGAAAGAATTCAGTTGTAGACGCGTGACGGGCGAAAGGTGGCGACGTGATTTATCCGTGAAATTTATCGGTGTCTGCTGCAGCTATTATCGAGCACGTGCGTCTTCCACGTGTACCAGTGATCTTGATGTAGTAGGTATATGAAAAACTCGGTATCTACAGCTGCGGATCACTCGGTGCGAAGAGGAAGACGTGGCCGACGTTAAAACGACTGGGTAGTCGGGAGCGGATATTTCAGGAAAGGGGGATAGGGCCGAGGGGATCAGGGTCGAGGGAAAAGAGAGTCGAAGATAGGGTTGAAGTACGGGAAGAGAGGAAAAAAATGGACATGGCAGAAAATGAGCCCGCTGAAGGTAATTCCCTGTCTCGTATCAACGTCTATTTTCATCTCACTCGGCCGATCGAGACGGTTGTAGCTTTCCGTCGGCCACCCCTTGTCACACTTTTGGTATCATCTCCACCTAAAAAGGTAGATTGGCCCCGGAACTAACGTCGCCTCTCATTGGCCAAGAGGGCCGGCCAATCGTCGAGCTCGTTACATTCTAGGATCACGTTGCACGCGCTTATATTGGGAGCCCCCGCGCGTTTCCCCGACAGAACGGCTCTCTAACGTAAGTGCAGAACGTCGGTGTTGGTCCGATTGTTCGATTTTTTTCTCTTTTTGATTACGCGACGTTCAACACTACATATATATATATATATATATATATATATATCGGGCCGCTATACGCTTTGGCTCGAAAGGGAGCAAACGAAAGAGAGAAAAGCGAGAAGTCCCAGACAAGTACGCGCCGAGAAATCGTGTAATAAGACCGCTGAAAGAAGCAGAAGAGTTGCGAGTTAAAGAGACAAAGTCTGAAGAAAAGAAAGAAAGAAAGAAAGGAGGAAAAAAGGCTGCAGAAAAGATATAAACGAAACGAAAGATATAACGTGATCGTGAGAGAGAAGCCTAGGGAATTTCGCCAGCATTCGTTCTAATAATCCGGCCTCTAGCCTGATTCGCAGTGTCTAGTGATCTCGCCCGTGGTATATTTCAAACAACCCCGCGCCGCGAAGGATTCGCTTAGGTAAAAGGGGAAAGTGCGATTCATCGTTCGATACAATTACAATTTTTGCCTCTTGGAAATTGGTAGAGCAGAATCGGGGGAAAACAAGCTGTGGATACAGTTCAAATTTACAGCTAGTGACTTTCGAGCTCAAGCCTCGAACCTGTGATCGACGTCCGATTCTGAGGTGTAATCCTTATTTTATTACTAAGGAACTGATCTCTCGTCGTCAAGAGAGGGACAATTTCGCGTGTGGCCCCTTCTTCTTTTGGTGCAAAAAAGAAAAAAAAAAGAAAAGAAAAAAGAAAGAAACAAACCATAACGCGGGACGTTCGAAAGTGATCGTTTTCTATCTTCTTCGAATTTTTTTCTTCTACTCCCTTCGCGGCTTTCCTCCACCCTCCCCCATCTGTTTTTAATTTAACACGTACTCGTGGAGCATATTAAAAACGGGCAGTGACACTTTTTGAAATTTCGCGAGTTTCAACGGCGACGTCGGTGACGTCATCATTGGTGATGAATGCCATAAACAGTGCGTCATTAACGGTGCTCTCGAACGAAAGGATACGCGATGCAATTCTCTCGCCGAGAGAGTGAGAAAACACGTCGA